TTCCTTACCTATTCCATTCCTTACAATAGAAATAATAATGTTACCATTAGGATTGAACCCTGGTATGCTGGCAGGAGAGAGAAGACTCAGACCATTCAACCAAAAAGGTGTCTGCGTTCTCAAGAGGTTTCCTAACCAGGCCATTCCCCTTCTTTTTATATTGTTACTCGCCTCACCCCCACCATCCACATGTACGCCATCCAAGACAGGATAGCCTTCGCCAACCACGTGTCTCACGTCTACCTGCACCAGCGATTCAGAGAAGAAATCCTGTAAAGTCCGATGATATCAACGTCAGAATTAGATCACTACAACACAAGTCAGCACAAGCGTCGGCGAAACCCAAGCTAGTGCAAGTGCGGCCAACAACAAGCCCGGGAAATTTGGAGAAGAGCCACTCAATAGCGAACACTCCCCTCCTTTGTCCCACGAACCGATTAGCCAATTTCGCCCAGCGATACAGCATATCTGGGATATCATCGCCGAGATATATGGCCGCCATGGAGTCGGCAAAAGCCTGCCTCCGATTACAAAGTGCACCCCAATACAGGCCCTCCACGCCAACCAAGGGATGCTTATCTTACTCCATCTCCAAGAATGGTGAAGGAGGGATGGAGAAGCAGTCGGACTACTAGAGCAATAATACAGAGAGCGTAAGAGGAGAAATGCGTTTCTCACTAAAAACTAATCCAGAAACAAGTCTCCCAAATGTGGATTAGGGTTGCCGGACACTGCAAGCATATCCGCATTCGGAAAATGCGTTTCTCATATTATACTTGAAATGCGATTCCCAAATGCGGATATTGCCTCATACCAAAATACGTAAGCCGCATTTGAAATTTGTGTTTGTTGTATTTTATATGTCAAACGCAATTCCCAAAAGCGTTTGGCGTTGACGGTTCCCGATAATAAAAAAAAAAATTCACTCGAGTTTGGGAAATGCATTTTTCACCCCACCGCATTTCCCAAACTCGGTTTTCCCTCTTTTTCCACAAATTTTAAGGGGTCGTTTGGTTCACGGAATGTCAGATTACCTTAGGGAATGTTAGATTGCTGGGAATGTTAGATTACTAGGAATGTTAGATTCCTGTGTTTGGTTAAAATTGGGGTATGTAATATAATCCTGTTTGGTTTAGGGTTATATTTTATACACACTATAATATCCTTAACATATTTTCATATATTTTAATATATTTAAAAATTAAAATAAATAAATAATATAACGGTATCATATATAATTACATGATTTTAAAATATTAACTAAAATCTTGAACTTGAGAAACAAAATTATTTTATTTGCTAACATAACATAATAAAAATAAAACAATATATAATTACAAAAATAATTATATAAATATATATATATATATATATATATATATATATATATATATATATATATATATATATATATATATATATATATATATAAAATAAACTAACATAATCAAGGTTATCTTACATTACCTAAGATTTTGAAGGGAATCACATTCCCTTCAAAATCCTATATGGAGGGAATGTGACATTCCTGGGGAATGTTAAATTCCCTAAGATAATATGAACCAAACACCGGAATGTGAGCTTTGGAATGTTACATTCCCTTGGTTATGTTATATAACCTGAACCAAACGACCCCTAAGGGTCTTATTTTTGTCCCATACAAAGGCAAATCTCCGTCAATTTCCCTACTGCGTGATATGTAAAGATTAAACAAACTATTAGATGAATGAACTGCCAAACTCCAAACAAGGCAGTAACAAATTAAACTGAGATCTCAGATCAAAAGTGGGCCACAACATTCATGCTTGTCACTTTAGATCAAAAGTGGCTGTTGGTGGAAAAATCTTTAAATCTGAGAAATTTTCTCTACATTAAAAGAAGTTGAACAAGTAGCAAAATCAAAAATCCATGTAACTGATATCAAACAAAATAAGCTAAGACTTCCAAGTAAATTAAACAATTAATACATATACGTTAATACATAAACTGACGCAAATTATGCTGTGCAACCGAATGCACCATGCGCATGGTGCATTCGATGCAAAACGACGTCGTTTTGGTTAAAAAACGCGCGTCCCAATTAAAGAAGAAATCAGGTTCGATTCCCGGCAATAGCATTTTTATATATCCATAAATTCATAACTATATATTCACAAATTCATAACTATATATCCACAGTGAATGAATGAAGTAAAAATCCACAATGAATGAACTAAACATCCACAGTGAATGAATGAAGTAAATATCTACAATGAATGAACTAAATATCCACAATGAATGAACTAAATATCCATAAATTCATAACTATATATCCACAAATTCATAACTATATATCCAGAAATTCATAACTATATATCCACAGTGAATGAATGAAGTAAATATCTACAATGAATGAACTAAATATCCACAATGAATGAACTAAATATCCATAAATTCATAACTATATATCCACAAATTCATAACTATATATCCAGAAATTCATAACTATATATCCACAATAATGCTATTGCCGAGAATCAAACCTGCATTTTTTTTTAAGTGAGACGCGCGTTTTTAGTCAAAATGATTGCATCGTATGCACCATGCGCATGGTGCATTCGGTTGCACAGCATAACTATTGATAACTGATTACTAGTCTCCAAAATCCAAAATATCAAATGTCCAAAATCCAAATCACAAGCACCGTGCAGAATAAAAAAACTACTTATGGATTTTGGATACTAAATACCCCAAAGTGAGAGGAGTTCATTGTGCGCAGTGAACAACGAAATATTTGACCATACTTAATATTTTAAATAATTAATTTTTTATTAATGTACATAAATAACTAAAAGAGTAAACTTGTTCAATAATTTGATTAATTTAAAATTGAATTATCTTGTGGGTAAAATTGTTACTTAATCAACCAAATTAATACTTTAATTGTTTCAATTAGTTGGTCAAATTAATCTATATTTTATTATGTATATTATTTTTATATTATATATTTGATACAACCAATTTGTATAAAAATTGTACTAAGAGAATGACTCTTCATGTATAAATAATAGGCTAATGTGGTTAGGGGTAATAATTCAATTAATTTGGATAATTTTGAATCAAACTAGCTAATTGAATTTTTATTTTGAGAAATTGTTACCTAATCAACCAAACTAAATTATACTTTAACTAATTCGATTAATTGATCCAATTAAGCAACTTTTTATTATAGATAATTTATTTTATATTACATATTTGATACAACTATATTGTAAAAATTGTACGTACTACATTGGATAGCTCTTAATGTACAAAATTGTACGTACTACATTGAAATATATTATTGGTACTAAACATATACATTTTTATTTCCAAAAAAAATTGATATGACAAATTAGTAAAATAAGTGACAGTGAAATTATCTGTCACATGAGAACGTTTAAAAATGAGTGATTATAAAATTTATTTTCACAATTACATTCATTTTAAGAGGCACTAATTAGTTGCATTTTAAGTGACAAGAATATTTAATACCTAGTTCACACCAAATTACATAACACCAACTTGAATAGGCCTGTGCAGCGGACGGGTTCGGACGGTTCGGGTTCGCGGAAGGCTAATTCGATCGGACTTCGGATACCTAATCTAGCACCTAACCATTTATTTTCCCACCTAATTCCGTCGGATATTGTTCCGAATTACCGTTCGGATATCCGACTCAACCGTCGGATATATCGGTTATTGATGATAAAAGTGTAAGTGCAAAAATAATAAATTTATTTAAGAAAAGGAACTGATTTTTAATAGTTAACCACTTAAAGTAGTCGTCTAAAATACAGAACTACTTAAGTAGTAAAAGTGTAAGACACTTCACAAGCTCACCGTTTCAACTTACAAATTACTCCGTAAAATTTACATTCATAACTCATAAGCATTTACTGATTACAGACTAACTGACTAAGCAATTAAGCATATAAAAATACAGAAACACTGAAGTTCAGACATTAAGCAGTAAGCAATTAAGCTTTAATCCAAGCCTCCAAAACTTGAAAGTCCAATGTCCAAGCCACCAAGCATCAGCAGTCAGCAACTCAGCATTCATCAAAAAGAATATCAGTAGACCATAATAATATGATAATAATCTAATAATATGATAATAACCTATTTGACTATTCCTCTTCCTGATAAGTAAAAACACAAAACTTTTATAAGCTTTAAAATATATAAACTTTAAAGTTTAAACAATTGAACATGAATGAGTTCTGAATGTAAATTTTAGAGTGCTCAGATTGCTATTTTTCCAGATCAACCAAGGATTGGGGGAAATTGCTCAATATGAGTATGACACAAAACACCACACAACATAGGCAACATGCCAAACCCAATTCTATATATTCAGAAAACATGGTGGAAGTATCATCATTGCACAAGGAGCCAAAGACAATTACGTAATTAACAATAAGTCAATAACAGAGATATGGAGACTTGAGAGAAGTGAAGGCATATACATTACCACTTTACCAGACACCATTCATCATTCAGGTGCCAAATGCTCAATGGCAGCAACATTTAAAATGTCACCAAGCCATTGAACACTTTCCAATTCCATTGCCCAGCCAAGGAATAAGGGCCTGAGGGACATTGATATATGATACACATACACTGTAACACTAATGCAGTCATACAGAGATATCATATAATAATCATTGATCAAATATCAAAATAAATACAGAAATGCTTTATGGAATAAAAGTTATAAGTATATAATCATACAGGTATTGTAGGCAATAATCCAACTCCAGTGGTGGATGTGCTGCACAACTTTGCAAAAAGAAAAAAAAAAACACAAGTATAAAGAAGTATTAATTTATAATAAATAGTTATAAATTCTAAGTTAAAATGTAAATTTTAGAGATTTACCTTTCTCAATCCTTTAAACATCTTCAATATTTTCTTCAACAGAGATTGGTTGATTGGCTAACCTCAACCAATTCTGTGCACACACAAGTGCCTCAACAATCTTAGGAGTTAGGGAACTCCAAAAAGGCATCTAGTACTCTCCCACTGGTACTAAATGCTAATTCAGATGCAACAGTAGAGATTGGAACAACAAGTACATCCCTTGCCATTTTAGATAACACAGGGAACCTATCAGAATTCAGCATCCACCATCTTAGAAGGTCAAAAGATTCCTCATCATCCACAATGACCTCAGACAAATACACCTCCAACTCAGTTTTTTTCATTGACAAATCACCAGTACCTAATTTTTGTTTCTTAATCTGGGATTTCAATAATGCTTGAGGTTTCCCAATAGAAACACAATCAGAAATTATAACTGAAGGGGCTGATTTGGCAGAATTTTCAGGAACAGACTGGACAAGAAAACATGTCACATAATCTTGAAATAACTCCTTAAGGCCAACAACAACCTTATCAAACATTGTTTTACCTTTGTCCTCACCATATAACTGGGTAAACTGAATGGGCATATATTCTATTTTGTCCCTGGGGTCTAAGATATTTGCATAGAATATGAGAAAGTTCATTTTTTCAGGCTCACCCCAATACTTATCAAACTTTGCCCTCATATTTGTACCCATTAGTTTAACACTGCCATCAGCTTCCACCATATTACTTAACAAGCAAGACAGATCAGAAATCTCAGAGAAAAAAGTATTAGAAGTCACATACAGTGAACCAGAAATTCTAACAATCATTTCATAAAAAGATTTTAGAATCTGTACCAAACCAGAAATGGTTTCCCAATCCATGAAGTTAGGTATATTATTCTCACCCAAATTAGATTTAAATCCACTGTCTGAGCTTACATACTCTTCAAAGACTTTCTCATACAACAAAACAGCACTGAGCATCATATAGGTGGAGTTCCCCTTGTAGGAACATCAAGACACAAAGACTTCTTGGCTTCCACCCCCATTACATCAGCTAGCTCCCTAAACCTTTGAAGCCTAGCAGGTGAGCTTCTCACATACCTAACAGAATCCCTCACTTTTTTAACAGCACTATCAGATTCTTTCAACCCATCCTGTACCACCAAGTTAATGATGTGAGCAATGCACCTCATGTGCAAGTACTTACTCCTAACAGCAGTACAACCCCATGACACAAACTTTTTCTTTAAGAATCCTAGGGCAGTATCATTTCTAGAGGCATTATCAACTGTGACACTGAAAACTGATTTTAGACCCCAGTCCATAAGACAACTTTCTAAAGCCTTTGCAATACTTTCACCCTAGTGGGAATAGATAGGAACAAATGAAATGATTTTCTTTTGGAGCTTCCACTCACTGTCAATGAAATGTGCAGTTATGCACGTGTAGTTTATTCTCTGGACTGAGGTCCATGTATCAGTTGTGATACTAACCCTCTGACTACTAGTCCTAAAGAACTTCTTCAAGTTGAGCCTCTCATCAGAAAAAATCTTAAAAATGTCCCTACTGATAGTCCATCTTGAAGGGATTTTAAACCTAGGACAACAAACAAACACAAACTTTCTAAACCCCTGTCCCTCAACTATCCTAAAAGGCAATTCATCCAGAATAATCATCTCAGCTAAGGCTCTCCTTATCAAGTCTTGGTCAAATACCCAAGTACCTAACACCCCTTCTGATCCTTCACTGCTTTCAGTTCCAACAGAAGAAGGTTCACGTTGGAAAGTAAGCAAGGACTGCCTTGTATCCTTAGAGTGAGGATTTTAAGGCAGTTTACCACATGAAGTCTGAGATAAGAAGTCCCATGTTTCTTGGATTCACTACAATACACCCTAACACAGTATAAACATTTTCCCTTGACAACAATGCCCTCAGAGCCTTTGATCTTTTCAAAGTGATCCCGTACAGGAGATCTGGTCTCAACCACTTTCCTTTTCTTAGGAACAAGTGGAGGCAAAGGCTGCTGAGACTGAGATGTATTTGTCTCTACAACTGTGGCTTCCACCTCAGGTTGACTTCCAGATAAACCACTAATACTTTCCATCTAAAAAAAGGAAAGTATCAGTGAATGGGAAATCACTCAGGGAAAATCATCAACAACTATGGACAGAGGTATCAAGCATGCACATTACACATATATTCATATAATTACTTCCAGTTAATTTCACATGTCATCATGTATGCAGAATTGCACAAAAACGATTTAAGGGTCACATATCCATAAACTTAATACAATTTACAATTTACAAAGAAATCCATATTTAGGCATTCAAGCTAAGTAGATGTATGCCACTTCATAATGCTCATCATCTATATGGATTTCACACACAGGGGCTAGGGCTTCCACCAGATTAGGGACAATTAACCCTTTAAGCCTTTAACTCCTTTAAGGGACAACACAGTTACACAGATTTACACTTATAAATTATAAATTTATAATGCTCATCAATCATCATTTATATGGAATATGGATTTCCAAGGGCAAAGGGACACATGGGCTAGAGCTTCCACCAACATATCACAAATTAGAGACAAGTGAGTGAAGTGACATGCAATCTGGAACTTCTCAACAGATCACATTACCACAGTCCACACAGATCAGTGAATCACAATCACATAAACCCTAATCAAACTATCAAAGTATCACAAATTAGAGACAAGTGACATGCAATCTGGAACTTCTCAACAGATTACATTATCACAGTCCACACAAATCTGTGAATCACAATCACATAAACCCTAATCAAACTATCAAAGTATCACAAATTAGAGACAAGTGACATGCAATCTGGAACTTCTCAACAGATCACATTATCACAGTCCACACAAATCACAACCTATAAGAGTATAAGAATATAATCTAAATATCTAACAATCTAAAAGGCTAGGGTTTAGAGAATAGAGATTACTTCGTTTCTCTAAATTAAACCCCCGAGAACAAATGGCTTCGATTCCTAGCCAGCGAACTGCAATCCACCTGAATATCGCTTCCACCGGAGACTCGCTTCGACTCAGACTCTTAGAGGTCAGGAAAGGAATGGGGCTTGAGGGCTTCCACCGGAGAATAATAGCTTCCACAGTCCACACAGTCACACTCTCAGAGATTGAGAGAAGCTGAGATTCTGAGAACTGAGAAGGGCTGAGAGAGAAGTCAGAGAACGAGAGACTTTGAGAGAACTAGGGTAGAGAGAAGAGAGAAGTCAGAGAGTTCTCTGGAAGAAGGGAAGAGCTACGCAAATGAGACTAGGGTTTGCGAGTTTTCCGCTCCTTCTTCTATATATACTCATCCTACACGACGTCGCATTACTTAGGTTATACGAAGCCCTAGTCTAAATCGGGTAGTCGGACGGGTTCGGGTGGAAAATAGACCCCCCTTCCCGAACTCATTAAATCGGCGTCGTTCAACGCCGCGGTTCGGATTTGGCTTCTCGGGTTCGGTTTTTGAACCATTCTCGTGTGTCGGGTTCGGGTCGGTCGGTTTGGTCGGGTTGGGCGGGTTATGCACAGGCCTAAACTTGAATGCAATTTTAGTGGCAAACATTGATTACAACATAACTTCACACAATATTCATCTATTTAATTAGAGTGGCAAAGTCATTGTAACAACTAATTACTCGTCACAATTATCATAAATTAGTGACAAAACTTGAAATCAACACAATTATTGTCCCAATTCAGTAATTTTTGTTACGGAATTATAGAGAGTCACAAATATTTGTAACAATTTCATCACAAAAAATAACAATATTAGTGACAATAATATTTTTCTCACAATTGTTTCTCATTTCTAATGGTATTAACCAATTGTATTTTTATTGACAAAAAAAGTTATCACAAATAGTATACACAAGTGTGACCAACAACTAGTTGTCACAAAAGATACAAATATTTGTGGCCTCGTTGTATTTTGTCACAATTACATTCATTCCCGCCGCCATAATTATAATGATGCCAAAATGCACAAACATTTAGTGATAACAAATAGTGACATCGTATGTTACGACCCTATTATTCTAGTAATAGTGACAACTTATTCGTAACAAATACTTGTCACAATTACCAAATTATCTGTGACAAAAAAAAGTTATCACAATTATCCCACACAATAGTGTCGAATTATTTTTTTGCTCACAAAAAGGGTATTATTTGTGACTAAATTACTAAGTGTCATAAAAAAGTTATCACAATTAACCATGGTATGTTGGCAAGAGAAAGAAGACTCAAACCGCTCAGCTAGAAGGGTCTTTGCATTCTCAAGCCGTGTCATAACCAAACCATTCCCGCTCCTTTTATACTGTTACTCGCCTCACCCACCACCGTCCACGTGTACGCCATCCAAGATAGGCCAGCCTCTGCCAACTATGTGTCCCACGTTTACATGCCTCCCTACTTGCCTCCAAACTGTCGTCCATCAGCTAGGGTGCCACACCATACGCCCACCAACCAGGGCGCCACGCCACACGACGGGATGCAACTAGGTGCACCTAACGCGCCCAACCCGCCTCCATATGGGTCAAGACTTTTAAATGCCAATAAAATATGTCCTCATCATATATATATATATATATATATATATATATATATATATATATATATATATATCCACCCCAACTTAAGTAAGACTTTTCTATTAAAATATTTCCTCACACACACACAAACACACACACACACACACACACACACACACACACACAAACACACACACACACACACACACACACACACACACACACACACACACACATATATATATATATATATATATATATATATATATATATATGTATGTGTGTATATATATATATATATATATATATATATATATATATATATATATATATATATATATATATATATAATTCTTTGGATATTTTTAATCTTTCTCATTATTTTTCCTATTTTTAGAAAGGGCATTTTTGTCTCTTCATAATTTTTTTTGTTATTTTTCTGATTTCAACTTTCAACTGGTTTAATTGGTTTAGGACTTTACTAAAAATAGCTTGAAAAATATGATTACTAAGAATCATAGGTTACTTAAAGTTCTAAACCAATTAAGCCGGTTGAAATCGGAAAAACAACAAAAGAAAAATATGAAAAGACAAAAATGTCCTTACTAAAAATAGGAAAAAGTAATGAGAAGGACTAAAAGTGTTGAAAAAATTACTAATCTGGTTTGTTATATAGCAAAAACGATAGTTTGGGACTAAATTTAGAACTGTCACAAAAGATAATGAACCTCTAGTGTAATAACTATATATATATATATATATATATATATATATATATATATATATATATATATATATATATATATATATATATAAATGGATTCCTGTGCGGTTGATGGTGCTAGGTGCGGTTGTGCGGTGAAAGGAGAACCATTGATTTTGCTTAAATCAACGTTTAGATTACCAAAATTAAAAAAAAAAAAAAAAAAAAAAAAACATGTTGGTATTTTGGTAATTTTTTGCATTTAGGTCAAATGTAAGGTATGTAGTCCATGGTTTTTGTGAGTAAGGTGCGTGAGTTTGAGCTTAAGGTGCCTGGATTATGTACTAAATGGTAGTAGTTATTGAAACTTAAGGTGCATGGGTTTTGTGCTTAAGGTGCATGAGTTTTGTGCTTAAGGTGCGTGAGTTTAGTGCTTAATATGAGTAGTTGTTGAAACTTAGGTGCGTGAGTTTCCTTCTTGATGTGCGTTGTTTTCATCCTTAAGGTGCGTGATTTATATGCAACTTAAAGTGAACCATTTTTAAAACATTAGGTGCGTGATTTGTGTTCTTAAAGTGCTTTGTTATGTGCTTAAGGTGCGTGGTTTGTGTTCTTAAGGTGTGTGATTTGTGTTCTTAAGGTGTTTTGTTTGTATGCTTAATGTGCGTGTGTTGTGTACTTAAAGTGTGTCAGTTTAATGTTTAATGTGCGTTCAATCGCAGAAACGCACGGGAAACCATTCCCGCACTTGATCCCTTCCCCCCCCCCCCCCCCCCACACACACACACACACACACATATATATATATATATATATATATATATATATATATATATATATATAGACTCCAAGACTTAAGACTTGGGCATTGTTTGGAGATCAGTGAGATTATATATATTTGTAAAAGCGGTAAAAGCAATTATATTTTCATTTGTAATATAAAAAACTTTCATACAAACAATTAATATATAGCAGATTCTTTATGCAATATATATGCCTTTAAAATTTAAATATAATAGCCACTCAGCGTACAAACAATTGACGAACAAATTAAAAACTTGTAATGGTTCCATTTTTTGTTAAATCACATAAGTTTAGAAACTGGAAGATGCAATGGTTTTCCTGAGGGTACTATAATAATTAATTCATCTGCTGGCAGAAGAGATTTTAACCTATCTTGCACTGATGCTAACTACGCCAAATATGGCATTTAGCGGCAGTTACAAACTGCCAAAATTGTGTTTTTTGGCAGTTATTCATATGTGACTAAATAGTGTCGCTTTATTGCTGCTAATATTTACTTTAAACTTTAGTGATGGTTATTAAGTGTCGCTAGTAAAAGAATACTTTTCAATTTTATTGTTATAAGCATTCCATTTAATTTCTTGGTCAGTAAAGTACGTAATTGAGACTAATAACTCTGATATGAGTTCCAGAAACACTTTGGAGAAGTTCAATGGGTTTTGATGGTCTAGCCTCTCTAATCGTAATGGTAGAGGGCTAGAGGCTATAGAGCAAAACGTTATGAAGCCCAAAATAGTAGAGGCTGCTGGAGGATTAATTATGGTGCCACTGCGTGAAACGATGGACTTGCTGTCTTACAATGTCCATTTTCTGCAAGCCTTTTTGGTGGAGTGTAAGGCGAAAATGAATGACGGGGACATGATGGCTTGGTTACAGTATAAACATGTCCATGATCAAGTTGGTACAATATGGGTAGAGCCTAGAGGACGGAATAAATGATATACAGAGTCTATTCTATTCGGCAGATCGCTGGGAAGGGAATGCTGCAGTTAAGCCTTGTGAAGATGTTCATCATTGCTTGAAAAGAACAGTAAGAGACATTGAGCAAGTTAAAGATCAGATACTCCTTAACGAAAAAAGAAGAGTTGCTTTAGAGACTGAGGAACAGAGCATCACATTTTGTGATACCTACCAAAATGCTTTAAAGACTAAGAATGAAGTGATTGTAGGATTCGACATTGCTATAGTGAAGATAGTTAACCGGCTCTGTTATTCATACTTCATGGGATTGGTTTTAACCATTTTGAAGAATAGTAACATTGACATGTTTCGGAAATATGTGCTAAAACTACAAGTTATGCCACTCGTTGGGGAAGGAGGCATTGGAAAAACTACATTAGCCAAAAGAGTCTATGGACATCGAATTACTATTGCTAACTTTCACATTCGAGCATGGATAGTTGTGTCTAAATTTCATAACCTCAAAGAGATGCTCATTGGTCTGTTACGTTGTATTTCACCTATCACTAGTGAAATCTACAACATAGATGAGGCTCAGATAGCTGAGCAATTAAGCACAAGTTTGATGGGCCACAAGTATTCAATTTTCTTAGATGACATATGGACCACTGCTGCATGGGATGCCATCAAAGGATATTTTCCAGAGAATTTTAATGGAAGCCGAATCTTAGTAACTACTCGGTTCAAAGAGGTTTCTGAATACTTAAGTACCAATCCCTACCAAGTGAAGTATCAAACTTTTCCGGATTGTTGGGAATTATTTGCAAGGAAAGTGTTTGGGAAAATCCAATGTGTTCCCCATGAGTATGAGGAAATTGGGCAACGCATTGTTCTTCATTGTGGTGGATTACCCCTAGTAGTTGTTTTAGTTTCCGGACTTTTGGTGACAGTAAAAGGGTCTCTAGAAATATGGAGAGATGTTGCGAAAACTGTGTATGCAATAGATGTTAGTTATGAAAATAACAAAAGAATTTTAGAAATAGTTTCATTAAGCTACAAGTACTTACCCGACATTTGAAGGTTTGCTTTCCTTATTTTGGTGTGTTTCCAGAAGACAATGACATTCCTGTTAAGAAATTAATCAACTTGTGGGTTGCAGAGGGATTTATAAAGCCACATAACAATATGAGTTTGGAAGAAGTGGGAGAGAGTTACTTGCATGATTTCATTAATAGAAGTCTAGTTCAAACTAATGAACTAAGTATTGACGGCAAAGTTAATGAATCATGTAACATTCATGATCAAGTACACGAGGTTTGTGTGAGAGAAGGAGCTGATTGGTATGTGTTGGGCATTATCAATAATGACAACCATGCTCCAAAGTGTAGTCCTTGGTTAAGCTGTCAAACAAGTCATTGGCCAATTACTCGAGCGAGTTATGGGAACTTCCGTCCTAATGAAATCCATTATGTTCTCTGCTTTGGTAAAGATGCATACCATTCAAAATGCAGGTTGGCATACTCATGTTTGAAATTGTTAAGAGTATTGGATTTATCATTAGTTAAATGCTCACTGGGAATGCCTCGTGAAATAATAGACTTGATTCATTTGAGATACTTAGCTTTAAGTACCATTGGTTCTCTTTACGAGTTTCAAATTTTCAAGCTTAAGAATTTGGTAACTCTCATAGTTACTTCATGGATGGAAAAATATCCTTTGCAACTGCCATGTGATATTTTGGATTTGCCACAATTGAGACATTTGCATGTTGATAAGAGATGTTCACAGTATCTCCTTTTTTTGTCAAAAAAGATCTACAAACTCTTTATTGGTTGAAATTTGCTAGCTCCGACGAAAAACCAAACTTCAAAATGGTTCCAAACCTAAAGGAACTTGAGATTTATATTGAAGGCCTATTGGGGCCTAGCCATCTAGGGAGCCTTGTGCATTTACAACTACTTGAGAAGTTGAAGTTTGAAGTAGGAAGGGTCGAGCGCTTTTGTCTTCCAACAGGTTTTCCACCAAACCTTAAGAAGTTGACACTTCGGTATACTTATCTTCCATGGAAGGAGATGGACACAATTGGCAAGTTGCCGCACCTTGAGGTGCTTAAACTAAAAGATTTCGCCTGCTATGGTTCCAAGTGGGAACCAACGAAGATAAGGTTAAAAAAAAAAGATAATAACACAGTAAAATTAAAGAAATGCAAAAAGAAAAATATTTTTTAAAAAATGCACTGTGAATAGTCTTCTTCTGCTTCGTCTCTTCTTCGCTTGCTTCATCATCTACAGCTTCGCGATGCACAGAGAGCTTTGACTCTTCGACTCTTCTTCTGCTTCGTCTCTTCCTCGCTTGCTTCACCATCTACGGCTTCGCGATGCGCAGAGGGCTTTGGCTCTTCAACTACCAAGCGGCGGTGGCCTCCGAGATCTCCAGATCTGAAGAAAAAAAGGGGTGATGGTGGCGGTTCCGGATGTTGGTGGTGGTGGTGGTGGGAGGAGAGAAGAATCGACAGCTTTTTGAGAGCTTTATTACCAGATCTATGCCGTCGAAACCATTCCCTCACAATCTGAACGACGAACGACAAAGGAGCAGTGCGACCAAGCTGATAAACCGTTGTCGTCGTCACCGTTGCCAACAAGTCGTCGCCGTCGAAGCACTACCCGCCACCAACAAGCGTCGTCGTGAGGCCGCTGTCGAAGCGCTACCCGATGGTGTCTCGTTAGAAGCAGAAAGGAGAAGATTTAAAGGTTCGCCGGTTGATATGATAGATCTGAAGAGAGCAGAAAGGAGAAGATTTAAAGGTTCGCCGGTTGATATGATAGATCTGAAGAGAAGAGAAGAGAAGATTTGTATGTTTTGGTGTATTTGGTTGAGATGAAAAGAGGAGATCTGATAGATTTGAATGGCCTTAATTAGTAGATCTGAACTCTGAAGGCCAAATAAAGCTGATATGTGGCTTATATATTTTTATGTTCCGATTAAAATTAATATAAATATCCGCTACCCTTTCTTGTAGAAAGGGTAGTGAAAATTTTTTCTTTTTTTTACAGTCTTTTTATTTTTTAACAATACACTACCCTTGTTTGAAGAAAGGTAGCTTAAAGTCAAATTCTTTGCTCTTTTTTGTACTAGTGGCTTTCGGGAATTAAAGGCACTTCTTATTTCACGTTGAGATCTCAAACATTGGAATGCAAGTTATAATCATTTCTCTGTTTTGGAGCGCCTTGTCTTAAGATATTGTTGGGAATTGAAACACGTTCCAGTTAATTTTAAAAAAATGGAACACTAAATTTAATTGTATTAGAATGTTATTATTCTTCTCTTGTGACTTCTGAAAGCATATTTCTTCTGCAAAGAGGTTATTGTTTAAAGGAACGGCAGTTTGTCCACTCCATGTCCATGAAGTTAGAACTAAGGTTTCTCTCAAATTCTTGTTCATTATTTAAAAACGAAACATTAGTTTTCTGCATTCTAATTCCGTGTATTAATTAATTATTTGCTTTTTTACAAATTTACAATTACTTTTCAAGGTTGAATGGCAAAATAATGAAAGCTCTAAAGAAGACATTGTAGAAAAACTAACGAAGAAAGTGTGGAAAGCTTTGAAGAAGATAGTGTGAAAATCTCTAAAGAAGAAAGTGTGGGAAGCTCTAAAGAATTAAGTGTTGGAGGCTATGATCAAGTAAGGTTGAAAGCTCGGAAGAGTGTGAGGAAATATCTAAAGAAGGTGTCGAAATCTCTTAATGCATTCAAAGAATTGAAGAGGAAGTGTTGTAAACTCTTAGAAGAAAGGAACTGAGGAATTTGTTAATTTTGGGCTCAATATGATCTTATGAAAGCCAAGGTATGTATATATCTATGTAACTTATAATTGAACTCCATATTATCTTTTTGCGATTGCCAATTACTTTCTAGTTTTGTTTAAAGATTTCATTCCAACTTTAATTCATCACCTATTACATTTGCACTCCCAATCATCTACTTCAAAATCAATCAAAACTTTCCACTTTACTCCTATAGTCAGGTACTCAACCTGGCACTAAATTTTGGTCTTGCTGGACTAAAAGTGGCAAGTTTTCAAAGTCCTTAGGTATTAAAGGTGATTGATTTTTTTAGTCATAGTATGGGACTAAAACAGGAATCCATTACTAAGGAAAGTGCAAAGACAAGGCTTTGGAGTCTGGACTTGAAGGAAAACTTTTTTCGTTGAGCACAGGGTAACCAATACTCGGACTAGAAGAAAGATTTAGAAGAACAGAAGGAGCATTTTCTCTTATTTGCTTTGACTCTGATGCATGTGGTGTTTTAATGCCAAAACTGGTAAATACTTTGAGATGGTTTTTGCTAATTGTTAACAAATATACAAATGATCATTTTCTCGTAAAGCACCTATATCTTCCACCTCAGAGCCATTAGCCATAAGAACTTTAGTTCATTTCTTCCCAAACCTTTTTTTCTGCATTCAAGACATAATAAGATTAGACTATGTGGTCTAATGGTACCCGGGTTGGACTTTCATTTGGAAGGTTGTGAGTTTGAGCCTCAGTGGATCCTTTGTGTCTCAGTAGGTTGAGAAAGTATATGAGCAGATTCTTTGTGTTTCAGTAGGTTGAGAAAGTATATGAGCAGATACTACATTGTAATAGAGCTAGCAAAGCATATAATGTCTCATTGCATAGACCAGTCATTTTAATTCATACTTGATTTTTTTTGATTAAATTATATTTATCAGTAATTAAGGATTTGTTACCTGCAATACTCAACAGCTCTTGAATTGAATCAGGAAGGTGGACCAGCTTGCCTCTATGTTCTTCTTTTAGTTCATCATGTGGATGATGCCCATGCATTATCACCCATGTCGGAAATGTTCCTGATGATGCAATAGTTGTTTCCTTTATCAAGAAATTAAATAGCACAAGATAGGAGGAATCAAATCCGAACTTCTCAGTAGCTGTAGTGCGTAAAAGTATTCCTCTTAGAGCATTTTTGTTTCCTATTTTGAACGATGTGACTAGTTAGCTTACTGTTTTCTTGTTGTTTTTGTCCTTCATTGCTTTCTGGTCCCTCAGGTTCAGCAATTATCTGCAGGAGAAAAGAAATCGCCTTAGGAAATGTGTGCATTCCTGTTTGGTTTGGTAGTTAATACGGGTTTTCACATGTCACTAGATTGCTCTACACATTTTAAGGAATGACTAAATAACAGTGAGTATATGGTTATATACAGGAGTGGCCGCACTGATGAAATGTTGTTGAAGTTACCTGACGAAAATTGGAAAGAATTTTCTTTGCACTGTGAATGGCTGCGGGATATTAAATATCACTACCAGTTCCCCAACCATTTCTGGAGGTCCTAGTTTTGACAGGAACTATTTACATCAGTTTATGTTAGTGAACAATCCCGTTTGCTTTTGTGTATGATTTAACTTTCTCTGCTTTCAGTTGTTTCAGAATTTGGAGTATAATTGTATCGAATCGAAGATATAACTAACTAACTAACCTGTTCCGTTCTGTTTTTGTATGCTAAAACATCCTGCAGTTGTAAAAGGTTGTAAGGATACTATGTTGCAGAAGTAGAAGGGAACAATACAAACCACTACACCAGATACAATGACATACAAATCTGTTGGTCCACAGTGCTGAATAAGTTCAATTCACTGTTGGTTTGTCCACTTCATGTTTGTGAAGTTGGAACTAAGGTTTCTCTCTAATTCTTGCTAGTTCGTTATTTCAAACTATTAGTTTTCTGCCCTTTAATTCCATGTATCAAATTAGTTGTTTATTTTTGTACTCATTTTCAATTACTTTTCAAGGTTGAATTTCCAAATAATGAAAGCTCTGAAGAAGAAATTGTAGAAAGCTTTGAAGAAGAAAGTGTGAAAAAGCTCTAAAGAAGAAAGACTGAGAACTGGGAAGCTCTGAAGAAGAGTGATGAAATATGTGAAGAAGTCAAGAAGAAGGTGTTGAAATCACTGAATGCATTCAAAGAATTGAAGATGAAATTAAAGTGTTGTAAGCTCTAAGAAGAAAGTGACTGAGGAATTTTTAAATTTTGGGCTTATTTAAACTTATAAAGCCAAGGTATGAAACTTGTGGTTAAACTCCATATTACTTTGTAGTTTTATTTAAATAGTTCATTCAAACTTTAATTCATGAACTATTTCATTTGTACTTCCAATCATCAACCTCACCATCAATCAAAATTTGGTACCTGAGTTTTTAAAACTTGCCACTTTAGTCCTATAGTCAGGCACTGAATTTTGTTCTTGTTGGACTAAAAGTGGCAAGTTTTCAAAGTCGTTAGGCATTAAATGTGGTCAACTTTTGAGGTTGATAACCACAAAAGTGGAAAATCCAATAGTCTTCTAGTCGAGGGACTAAAACGGGAATCCAATAGTTGAAATATGCATAATTTTTTTGTAATTTTGTCCAATGAGAATTAAGGAGCCTATTCCGATCTGTTGCAATTGAAAAATAGAACTTCGTTTTATCCTTCAGCTTGTAGGCTCCTGGGTGAGAAGTTAATAAGGTCATCATTGCTTTCATGAGTTCATGCACTGGCTAATGTTGATCAGTATACCTCACTTGTACAGTTTCAATCCAGATTGGTGGTTGGGAATTTGTCTAACCATGTTTATGTATAGAACTAAGATGCATCTTAGTTCTATACGTTGCAGAATAGAATACTAAAATGAGTGCAAATGGCGACATGTGCAGTTGGAACTTGCTATATTTTATTTGTTAGATTATTGGCATTTAAAGTCAACCCTATACATAATTCATCAGATAGATATGTCTCAACTCTCATCCTCTCGGCTATAATCATTTATTCATTTCATTTCTGCTGGCTCAATAACTCTCATCTCATCTCATCTGAGTTTCAATTCAGAAACACCTGAGATTAGTTCAAGTTGGCATAAATTCAACAACTCAGACCAATTCACTAACTCCATCTCCATTGTTATAAACCTAATTAAGGTATGCATATATGTTTTATACTTTCTCCAACATCACTCAATTCCTTTTCGGCTTTCATATATATCCTAATGGTTTTGCTGAGGATAGTATAATAATTTAGCAGACAGATTAGATTTTAACCCTACCCATCTTGCATTGCATGCACAATCTATATATCATCTCTGATCTGTTATAATCATTCCATTTAATTTCTTAATTGCTATCTATAATTGATCACGACTGACTAATTAATAACTCGGATATGATATGATCAAGTTCCAGAAACACTTTAGTCTTTAGAGAAGTTCAATATAATGGCTGATGATGCTGTAACCACTCTAATCTGATCTGCGTTTCAATTCAGAAACACCTGAGGTCGAGTAGTTCAAGTTGCCATATCTTTCTCTGCTCTACTCCATACATTCAACAACTCTGACCAATTCACTAACTCCATCTCCATTGTTATAAACCTAATTAAGGTATGCGTGTTTTATACTTTCTCCAGCATCACTCAATTCCTTTTTTTGCTTTCATATATATATATATATATATATATATATATATATATATATATATATATATATATAGTTTAGCATTATGTTTAATTTTGCCCTCTCAATTCACTAATAAGTTCAAAATATTTATCTCATTTTGATTGAGTGATCACTATGTATGAAAATATTCTTGAAGACTTAGGCTCTTGTGGTGGAATGATAGCTATTACAGCGGTTATAATTGTGAAAAAAAGGTGTTTGTTTTAAAAATTTTGATTTGTAATTTAAAAATTTTTATTTTCAATTATAGTATAACAAATTTAAAATATTTTCACACAAACAATATATAGCAGATTCTATATGCCTTTAAATAAAATGGCCCCTCAGCATACAAACAATTGAAAAACAAAAACTGGTAATGGTAACAAACTGTGCATTATTTTCTATTGAATCACATGAATTTTAGATGCAATGATTTTAAGCCATATATGTTGCATGCACCATTATATATCTCTGCTATTTTCTTGCTCAATAATTGAGACTAATAAGTCCGATATGAGTTCCAGAAACACTTTAGAGAATGAAGTTCAATATAATGGATTATGATGCTGAAACCACTCTAATCAAAATAGTAGAGCAAGACCTTGTGGAGCCCAAACTACTTTTGATTTTTGATGCCGGAGGATTGATGGTGGCGCTGCTTCAAATGATCGAGTTGCTGTCTGCCAATCTCTGCATTCTGCAAGCCTTTTTGGAGGAATGTAAGATGAAAATGAATGAAGGGGACACCAAGGCTAAGATACTGTATAAAGATATCCGAAATAAAGTTGCAAGAATATATAAAAATTACAGAATAAAAAATGATCTGAGAAGAGTATATTTGGCAGCTAATAAGAAAGGGGATGCGTTTAGGGCTCGTGAACGACTTCATTCGACCTTGAAACAAGTAGTAAAAGATATTGAGGAAGTTAAAGAACAGATCCTCGCGGGAAAACAAATAACTGCTTTAGAGCTTGAGAAAGAAAACATCACGGTTTGGGAGACCTACCGAAATGCTTTAAATCCTGAGAATGAAGTGATTGTAGGACTCGACAGTGATATAGAGACGATAATTAACCGGCTCTGTTATTCACACTTGATGAGATCAGTTTTCACCATTTTGAGGAATAGTAACATTGACAAGTTTCGAAAATACGTTGAAAATCCAGAGCAGAAACTACAAGTTATCCCACTCGTTGGGGAAGGAGCCATAGGAAAAACTACATTAGCCAAAAGAGTCTATGGACATCCAATTACTATTGCTTGCTTTCAAATTCGAGCATGTGTAGTTGTGTCTCAGGTTCATAACCTCAAAGAGATGCTCATTGGTCTATTACGTTGTATTTCACCAATAACAAGTGAAATCTACGACATGGAGGATGCTCAAATAGCTGACCAATTATGCAGAAGTTTGATGGGCCAGAAGTATTTAATTTTTTTGGATGACATATGGACCACTGCGGCATGACATGCTATCCAAGGATGTTTTCCTGAGAATTCTTGTGGTAGCCATATCTTAGTAACTACCCGGTTCACAGAGGTGGCTGAATACTTAAGTGCAGATCCCTACCATGTGACGTATCAAACTTTAAAGGATCGTTGGGAATTAGTTTCAAGGAAAGTGTTTGGGCAAAGCCAATGAGTTCCGAAGGAATATGAGTCAATTGGGAAACTCATTGTTCTTGGTTGCAGTGGATTACCGCTAGCAGTTGTTGTGATTGCTGGACTTTTGGCAACAGCAAAAGAGTCTCTTGAAATATGGAAAGATGTTGCGGAAACTTTGGATAGAGTTGATACATATGATTATAATAAAAGAATTTCAAAAACACTTTCATTGAGCTACAAGTACTTGCCTAGTCACTTGAAAGCTTGCTTTCATTATTTTGGTGTTTTTCCTGAAGACAACGTCATTCCTGTTAAGAGACTAATCAACTTATGGGTTGCAGAGGAATTTTTAAAGCCACATAAAAATATGAGTTTGGAAGAAGTGGCAGAGAGTTACTTGCATGATCTCATTAATAGAAGTCTAGTTCAAATTAATGACCTAAGTATTGACGGCAAAGTTAAATCATGCAAGGTTCATGATCGAGTGCATGAGGTTTGTGTGAGAGAAGCTATAACGGGGAATACTTTGTGCATTATTGATTGGTGTAATTTGGGGCAAACAAATAATACCCGGAGTATTCGGGTTGTCGAACCACAGAGAGGTGGTGTACTAATCACTAGCTACTAGGTTACTCATATGAAACTAGTCCGAACAAAACTTGAAGGTTGATTGATTGCATAAAATAACAAGCAGAATAAAATAAGTAGCAAGGTTTTGTAGACAATAGAGCAAAATAGGATTCTTGGGATCACAATGTTTAATCACCTAGTGCCAATTAACGTTTGTAATATTTGGTTTGGAATTAAGATTTGTATGGGAATGCAAAGTGGAATCGAATTACTCCCGTAATCTCTATTCCTAGTGAATTTCCACTCCCATGGCTTAAACACCCAATAAGATCAAAGATCAGCATTCAATTATTCCTAATTACTACCATCTCCCGATGAGCAATAATCTAGAATAAACTTCCCCTAATAAGTTCCCCTTTCCCAAGGACCAACCATTAGGTGCAATCGTGTGTGCCCTAATTTATGCCCCAACTCCCATTGGTGACACAAACATGACTGTGAAGCTAGTAATTTAGGCCTTTAACTACCAACAACAACAGATTAAAACAAGATTGCAACACAAATCATAAAACCAAACATAAATATATTCAGAAATTAACGAACTAGGCACATAGGTTCATAAACGAATTCACCCAAAAATCCCTAAAGAATTTAGCCGAGCATGGCTAAATTATACATAGCAAATATGAATAAAGGATTACAAATCATCAGAAGAGTACAAGTATTAACCAAGCGATTCTCCCAAATCTCCCTGGCTTCCTCCTTGCTTCCAAAGACGACTTGAGCCTCTTGATTTCTCTCTTTCTTGTCTACAAAGAACTCTAAAAATCTCTCGGTCTTAGGGTTGAGGAAGGAGGGATTTTATAGTGGGTACAAAGTTGAGATGAAATAGGAATCTTGTACAAAATTGGACTCGAATTATAATTCCTATATTTAAATAAATAAAATGGAAGAATTTAATTATAAAATCAAAGTTGGAATTGGAAATTTGGAATTGAAGTTTGCGCCATTCTTTAATTTGAAATTGAAGTTTGACTTTTGAATTTGATATCTTGCAGCCAACGCCTTTTTGATTCAAGTTGATGCCTTCGTGCGTCGCTCGACGCGTCGAGCTATGGCTCGACGCGTCGAGACCTGATGGTCTCGACTTCTGATGCTACTGGAAATTTTCGACGCGTCGAGCCTTTGGTTCGACGCGTCGAGTCCTTTGGGCCCCGAACTTGTCCAAAATTGCTCAAAACTCATCCTTGAACTTCCCTTGCTCATATCTTTGACCTAAAATGGTTCAAAAACACTAACAAACACCGTAAAACATTCAAAATAAGTGTGAACTATAATTAAATGATAATAGCAAGGAAAATATGTATTAAATAAGCAAAATTAAAGAACTTAAATACTGAGATGATTCAAAATAACTATAAAAACAAGCAAAGATGTGATAACATCAATTATCAATGATAATCATGCTCCAAAAGCTAGTCGTTGGTTAAGTTGTCAAACAAGTCATTGGCCAATCACTCAATCAAGTTATGGGAATTGCACACTAGATAATATCAATTCTGTGCTCTGCTTTGGAAAAGATGTATACCATTCAAAATGCAGGTTGGTATACCCATGTTTGAAATTTCTAAGAGTATTAGATTTATCATTAGTGAAATGCTCACAAGGCATGCCTAGTGAAATAACAGATTTGATTCATTTGAGATACTTGGCTTTAAGTACCATTGGTTATCTTTACAAGCTTCGATTTTCTAAGCTTAAAAATTTGCTTACTCTCATAGTCACTTCGTGGATGGAAAAATGTCCTTTACAAATGCGATGTAATATTTTGGATTTGCCACAATTGAGGCATTTGCATGTTGACAAGAGATGTTCACAGTATCTCCCTTGCATAGTTAAAGGTAATCTGCAAACTCTTTATTGGTTGAAAGTTGCCAACACTGACAGAAAACCAAACTTCAGAATGGTTCCAAACCTAAAGGAGCTTGGGATTTACATTGAAGGCGAATTGGCGCCTAGCTATCTAGGTAGCCTTGTGTATTTACATCTACTTGAGAAGTTGAAGTTCGAAGTAGGAAGAGTCGAGCACTTTTATCTTCCAATTGGTTTTCCACCAAACCTTAAGAAGTTGACACTTCGTTATACTTATCTTTCATGGAAGGAGAGGGACATAATTGGCAAATTACCGCACCTTGAGGTGCTTAAACTAAAAGATTTAGCTTTCTGTGGCTCAAAGTGGAAACCATCGAAGCAAGGCTTTCGGGAATTAAAGGCACTTCTTATCTCACGATCAAATCTCAAACATTGGAATGCAAGTGCTAATCATTTCCCAGTTTTGGAGCGCCTAGTCTTAAGATATTGTTGGGAATTGAAACAAATTCCAATTAATTTTGCAAAGATTGGAACACTGAAGTTAATTGTGTTAGAATGTTGTTATTCTTCTCTTGTGACCTCTGCAAATCAGATTTCTTTGGCAAACAAGTTATTGTTTGAGGGAAAGGCAGATTGTCCACTTTGTGTTCGTAAAGTTGGAACAAAGGTTTCTCTCTTTTTCTTGTTGATTATTTGATACTATTATTGGTTTTCTGGCTTCTAATTCCATGTGTTAATTTAATTATTTATTTTTGTACTCATTTTCAATTAATTTTCAAGGTTGAATTGCCAAATATCGAAAGCTCTGAAGAAGAATCTATAGAACACTCTGAAGAAGAAAGTGTGGAAAGCTCTAAAGAAGAAAGTGTGAAAAACTCTAAAGAAGAAAGTGTGGGAAGCTCTAATCAAGAAAGGTTGAAAGCTCGGAAGAGTGTGAGGAAATATCTAAAGAAGAAGGTGTTGAAATCTTTGAATGCATTCGAAGAATTGAAGAGGGAAGTGTTGTAAGCTCTAAGAAGAAAGTGACCGAGGAATTTGTTAATTTTGGACTTATTATAATCTTATGAAAGCAAGGTATGTATATACCTATGAAACTTAATTATACTTAACTCCATATTATCTTTGCAATTTCCAATTACTTTCTAGTTTTATTTAAAGAATTCTTTCCCACTTTAATTCATGAACTATTTGATTTGTACTTCCCCTCATCAACCTCAAAATCAATAAAAAATTCGGTGCATGAGTTTTTAAAACTTGCCACTTTATAGTCCTATAGTCACGTACGTACTAAATCTGGCACTACACTTTGTTCTTCTTGGGCTAAAAGTGGCAAGTTTTCAAAGTCGTTAGGTATTAAATGTAGTCAATTTTGGAAGTTGATAACCTCAAAAGTGGAAAATCCAATAGCCGTCGACTAAAACAGGAATAATACAAGCTTGTGTCCAATTAATCTATAAGAAGGAGGCTCATTTCTCTTCTTCCGTTTTGGAGCATGGTCCATCCACTGAATACGATGTCTCTTCATCAACCTCACCATCAATCAAAATTTGGTACCTGTTGCAATTAAAACTTGCCACTTTAGTCCTATAGTCAGGCACTGAATTTTGTTATTGTTGGGCTAAAAGTGGCAAGTGCTCAAAGTAGTTAGGCATTAAATGTGGTCAACTTTTGAGGTTGATAACCACAAAAGTGGAAAATCCAATAGTCTTATAGTCGAGGGACTAAAACAGGAATCCAATAGTCGAAATATGCATCATTTTTTGTAATTTTGTTCAAAGAGAACTAAGGAGGTTATTCTGATCTGTTGCAATTGAATTTGAACTTTGTTTTATCTTTCAGCTTGTAGGCTCCTGGGTGAAGTTAATCAGGTCATCATTGCTGAATAAGTTCTCTGTTGCTTTCATGAGTTCATGCACTGGCTAATGTTGATCAGTATACCTCTCTTGTACAGTTTCAATCCAGATTGGTGGTTGGGAATTTGTCTAACCATGTTTATGTATAGAACTAAGATGTTTTATTATCCCGCTTTTGGGAGAAAACAAACAGAGAGGATTTCTTGCTGCAATTCTTCAAGTGCAGCTCAGAGGTGCATCAATATAAGATGTTGTATTTTTGGTTTCCATTTGATCTGAACAATTTCAGCTGTGTTATGATGTTTTCCTGCTCCAATGACACCGTGGCTAAATTGTAGCAATCCACTGTTCAATTAAGTATTCTTTTACATCATATTGAAATGCTCTTTGGTGCCAAGAAAAAAAGAAGGAACAAAGGTGCATGTACTTTAATTTGATCTCCCGTGAGTTGTGAGCTTCACTATTATCTTTTTCCTATTACATCCCTCTGTCCTGGTCTCCTTAGTGATCAAAGCACTCAAGCCTTTCATGATTAATATGAAGAGATAGGGAGACAGTGGATCTCCCTATCTCAAGCCCCTTTGAGGGATAATAAGCCTAAGGGATATAAAAACTGGAGATGCAAGCAGAAACCAGATTAACAAAATTAACATCAAAGCCCAACTTTAATAAGACCCCTTCCGGCCACTAGCTTCCAATTCACCATGTCATACGCCTTACTCATATCCAGCTTCCAAACCTTCCCTTGGTTTTTCCTCTTCAGAAAGTGTTGGGTTTCATATGCAAGTAGTAGGTTGTCCGTTATAGGTCTTCCAGGAACAAACGCACATTGAGGCTCAAAGATAAGACTGTGAAGGAGGGGTTTAATTAGATTGACTAGGATCTTAATTATACAAACTAGGCCACTCATTGGGGAGCGTTATGCTGTGCAACTGTGTGCACCATGCATGGTGCACACGGTTGCAAAAAACGACGTCCGATTAAAAAAAAATTCAGTTTCAAATTATGCACAACATAACGCTGTTGACGGAAATCGAAACTGATTTTTTTTTTTCATTCATTCTGGATATTTAGTTCATTCATTCTGGATATATAGTTCAAATTATACACAACATAATGCTGTTGACGGGAATCGAAACTGATTTTTTTTTAAGTTGGACGTGCGTTTTTAGTCAAAACGACGCCGTTTTTGCAACCGTGTGCACCATGCATGGTGCATACGGTTTGGAATCTACAAACTCTTTATTGGTTGAAAGTTGCTAGCTCCGACAAAAAACCAAACTTCAGAATGGTTCCAAACCTAAAGGAACTTGGGATTTACGTTGAAGGCCAACTGGCGCCTAGCTATCTAGGGAGCCTTGTGTATTTACATCTACTTGAGAAGCTGAAGTTTGAAGTAGGAAGAGTCGAGCGCTTTTATCTTCCAATTGGTTTTCCGCCAAACCTTAAGAAGTTGACACTTTGTTATACTTATCTTCCGTGGGAAGAGATGGACACAATTGGCAAGTTGCTGCACCTTGAGGTGCTTAAACTAAAAGATTTCGCGTTCTGTGGCTCAAAGTGGGAACAATCAGAGCAGTGCTTTTGGGAATTAAAGGCACTTCTCATTTCACGTTCAGATCTCAAATATTGGAATGCAAATTCTAATCATTTCCCAGTTTTGGAGCGCCTGGTCTTAAGATATTGTTGGGAATTGAAACAAGTTCCAATTAATTTTTCATATATTGGAACACTGAAGTTGATTGTGTTAGAATGTTGTTATTCTTCTCTTGTGACTTCTGCAATGCAGATTTCCTCTGCAAAGAAGTTATTGCTTGAAGGAACGACAGATTGTCCACTTCATGTTCGTGAAGTTAGAACTAAGGTTTCTCTCTAATTCTTGTTCATTATTTCAAAATATTAGTTTATTGCCTTCTAATTCCATGTATTAATTTAATTAATTATTTATTTATTTTTGTACTCATTTTCAATTACTTTTCAAGGTTGAATTGCCATGTAATGAAAGCTTTGAAGAAGAAAATGTAGTAAACTCTGAAGAAGAAAATGTGGAAAGTGTGAAAAGTTCTGAAGAAAATGTGAAAAGCTCTAAAGAAGAATGCGTGAGAAGCTAGATGGTTTCTCTCTAATTCATTTTCATTATTTCAGAATATTAGTTTTCTACCTTCTCATTCCATGTATTAATTAATATAATTATTTATTTTTGTACTCATTTTCTATTTCTTTTCAAGGTTGAATTGCCATATATTGAAAGCTCTGAAGAACAAAGTGTGGAATGCTCTATAGGAGAAACTGTGGGAAGGTATAAAGAATTAAGTGTTGGAAGCTCTGATCAAGAAAGGTTGAAAGCTCGGAAGAGAGTGATGAAAAATCTGAAGAAGAAGGTGTCGAAATCCCTGAATGCGTTCAAAGATTTGAAGAGGAAAGTGCTAAGAAGAAAGTGAGTTAGGAATTTTTAAATTTTGGGCTTATTATAAACTTATGATCCAAAGCCAAGGTATGTATGTATATACCTATGAAACTTGTGGTTAAACTCCATATTATCTTTTGCAATTGTCTGCTACAATTCAGCTGTGTGTGTTATGATGTTTTTCTGTTCCAATGACACCATGTCCCAGTTGTAACAATCCATTGTTCAATTCAGTATTTCTTTTACAACATATTAAAATGCTTAGCTTTTTGGTGCCACTGAAACCTGCATATATTCATGAGTGATCCTTAAACTTGGAGCTGAGGTTCTCTCACCTATTGGAATCGTCATTGTACTAGCATTTTGGGATGGACTCTTCTTTTAGATCGACTTGAGTGCTTATCATAGTCCAGATTACCGTATTTGAAAGAGCAGACCAATATAAGACAATAACTAGTAATTTGAATTTGAATGTTGAAAAATAAAACTTAAATAATGCTGAATTGTGTTGTCTCAAGGTAAGTACCAATTTATTTTTATTATTATTTTCTCATTTTTCAAAATAATGAAATCTCTGAAGATTAAAGTGTGCAAAGCTCCGAAGAATAATGTGTTGAAAGCTCTAATCATGAAAAAGGGCTGAAAGCTCGGAAAAGTGTGGTGAAGAAGAAGGTGTTGAAAGCTCTAATCATTGAGTGAATTGAAGAGGAAAGTGTGGAGAGCTCTAAGAAGAAAGTGATAGAGGAGGAAGAGGCTATTCTATTGCAATGCAATATCAACATAGTAGTTGGGTATAAACATATTTGTACTTTCATTTCATCCGAAGAGGATGCTATTCTATTGCAATAGAATTTGAACTGCACTTTATCTTTCAGCTTGTAGGCTCATGATTGAAGTTAATCATTGCCGACATCTACTGTTTGGTTTCATCGAGTTCAGAACAGGCAAAAATGTTGGGCAGGCAGTCCATAAATATATCCACTTTTCCAGTCCAATCGAGATTGGTGTTCATCATTCTCTTTTGGTTGATTGAAGGTGCTTATCATCTCGCTTTCGGGGGAGAAAGAAACTTACACAAACAGAAAATATCTCTTACTTCAGTTCCCAGTGGATTCTTCAAGCACAGCTCAATGGTTCATCAAAATGTTGTATTTTTTGCTTTCCATTTGATTATAACAATATAATCCATCTTTGTGTTATATTGGTTTCTGTTACATCCTATGTTGAACTCATCAAATTGGTTTGTATCTTAAAAATGCTTATTTTGAGAATGAGATATTTTTACATTCTGACATTGTAGCATTTCCTTGAACTATATATATATGCAGAAAAAAACAGAAAAGTTGGTTGCAGAATATAATACTAAAATGAGTGCAAATGGCTACATGTGAAGCTCGGAAGAGTGTGAGGGAATATCTAAAGAAGAAGATGTCGAAATCTCTGAATGCATTCAAAGAATTGAAGAAGAAAGTGTTGTAAGCTCTAAGAAGAAAGTGACTGAGGAATTTGTTAATTTTAGGCTTAATACGAACTTATGAAAGCCAAGGTATGTATATACCTATAAAACTTATACTCAAACTCCATATTATCTTTTGCAATTGCCAATTACTTTCTAGTTTTCTTAAAGAGTTCATTAACTATTTCAATTGTACTTCCAATCATCAACCTCACCATCAATCAAAATTTGGTACCTGAGTTTTTAAAACTTGCCACTTTAGTCCTATAGTTAGGTACTAAATCTGGAACTAAATTTTGTTCTTGTTGGTCCTATAGAATCTTCCTTGAAATTTAAATTTTATGTTTTCTAAAAATAAAAATCCAAAGATACCATCAGTTGACTTTTGACTTGTTTGTTAGGTGTAGATTGTAGACCTTTCCACCATCAATAATTCATCAGATCTGTCTCAACTCTTATCCTCTCTGCTATACTCATTTCATCTCTGCTCGCTCAACAACTCTCATCTCATCTCATCTGAGTTTCAATTCAGAAACACCTGAGTTAGTTCAAGTTGGCCTATGATGTTTTCTCTGGTCTACTCCATAAATTCAACAACGTAACATAGACCATTTCTTATCTGATATTATCCAAACCCGGTTCTCTAACTGTACTCCATCTCCATCTTCATCAACCTAAGGTATGTTTCATACTTTCTCCAACGTCACTCAATTCCTTTTTTTTTTTTTTTTTTTTGCTTAAATATATATAGTTTAGCATTATGTTTTGCCCTCTCAATTCACTAAGTTCAAAACATTTATCTCATCATTTTGATTGAGTGATCACTATGTATGAAAATATTCATGAAGACTTAGGCTCAATTTTGCTATGTATTCACTAGGGTCCGTTTAGAAATCAGGAAAAATGTTTTTCGAGTTTTCAGTGTTAGGATGCAACAGAAAAATTCAGTCAACCGAAAACATTTTACGTTGACGGGGAAAATGAAGCCATTTTGGCGAAAAATGACTTCTGCCAAAATTTGGGGGATGTCATTTTCCATCAGAATGTTTAAACGTACAATCCTACTCATTTTTCTAGAAAATAAACTAAACACACCAAGTTTTCCAAAATGCTACCAAACACTGGAAAGAAAAATATTTTCTGAAAAATGACTTATTTTCCAGAAGTCATTTTCCTGCTTTCCAAACGGACCCTAAATTTATAATATTTATCTCATTTTGATTGTGTCTTCATGTATGAATTGAAACTAGAGTTGACAGTAAGCATATGACCCTAAGTCTTCATTCATGAAGACTTAGTGTCAGTTTGGGAGAGCGGTTAGATTTGTGTGGTAACTATTAGAGCGGTTAGATCCGTGAAAAAGGTATTTGTTTAAAAAAAAACATCAGTGATGGTGAGAACTAACTGAAAGATGCAATGATTCTCCAGAGGATGCTATATGTAATATAATGATCATTGACATCAAGCCACCGCACATTGTTGTATTTTATTATTATTATTTTTTTTGGGTGTACCCGGTTTTCACGGTTGGACACAGTCACTAATCCACTCGTTGAAGTGTAGACGACTCTATTGGGTTGGAAACCCACTTTGGGGCACAAGGAGTTGTTTTTCAATGCTCTGCAAGTTGGCATTAATAATCCAAGGCAATGTTTAAAAGTTATTATGTTAATAATAATAATTCAGAAGATTTTAACCATTATCTCTATCTCTGCTATAATCATTCCATTTCTTGCTCAATAATTGAGACTAATAAGTCGATCTGATATGGGTTCCAGAAATTAAACACTTTAGAGAAGTTCAATGGCTTTGGATGCTGTAACCACTCTAATCAAAATAGTAGAGCAAGACCTTATGGAGCCTAGACTACTTTCGATTTTTGATGCTGGAGGAATGAAGGCGTCGCTGCTTGAAGTGATCAAGTTGCTGTCTCCCAAGCTCTGCTTTGTGCAAGCCTTTTTGGAGGAGTATAAGACGAAAATGCATCACTGGGGCATCTATGAAGCAATCCGAGATGAAGTTGCTAGAAGATATAAAGATTACAAAATAGAATCTAAACTGAGACAAGTATATTTTGAAGCTAACTGGGGACAGTATGAGTCTGCATATGTTGATAAACTTCATCGGACCTTGAAACAAGTGGTAGAAGATATTGAGGAAGCTCGAGAATTGATCCTGGAGATAAAAAAGATAATTGCTTTAGAGCCTGATAATGAGGAAGAGAATATCACGGTTTGGGATACCTTCCAAAATGCTTTAGAGCTTGAGAATGAAGTAATTGTAGGATTCGACCGTGATATAAAGAAGATTATTACCCGACTCGGTTTTGCACACTCGATGAGATCAGTTTTCAACATTTTAAGGAATTTTAACACTGACATATCTCAGCAATATGTTGAGCTGATGAATCTACAAGTTATCCCACTTGTCGGGGAAGGAGGCATAGGAAAAACTACATTAGCCAAAAGAGTCTATGGAAATCCAACTACTATTGGTTGGTTTCACATTCGAGCGTGGGTAGTTGTGTCTCAAGTTCATAACCTCAAAGAGATGCTCATTGGTCTATTACGTTGTATTTCACCAATAACAAGTGAAATCTACAACATAGACAATGCTCAAATAGCTGAGCAATTATGCAGAAGTTTGATGGGCCAGAAGTATTTAATTCTCTTAGATGACATATGGAGCACTGCTGCATGGGATGCCATCCAAGGATGTTTTCCAGATAATTCTAATGGAAGCCGAATCTTAGTAACTACTCGGTTCACAAATGTGGCTGAATACTTGAGTGTTGATCCCTATTACATGAAGTATCAAACTATAGAGGATCGTTGGGAATTATTTTCGACGAAGGTGTTTGGGCAAAGCCATTTTGTTCCCAGGGAATACGAGTTAATTGGCAAACGAATTGTTCTTGGCTGCAGTGGATTACCGCTGGCAGTTATTGTGATTGCTGGACTTTTGGCAACAGCAAAAGATTCTCTAGAAATATGGAGAGATGTTGCGGAAACTTTGGATGGAGTAGAAACGTATGATAGTAACAACAAAATTTCAAAAGTACTTTCATTGAGCTACAAGTACTTACCTCGTCACTTGAAACCTTGCTTTCATTATTTTGGGGTGTTTCCTGAAGACAATGTCATTCCTATTAAGAGATTAAACAACTTATGGGTTGCTGAGGGATTTTTAATGCCACATCAAAATAAGAGTTTGGAAGAAGTGGCAGAGAGTTACTTGCGTGATCTCATTAATAGAAGTCTAGTTCAAATTAATGAGCTAAGTGTTGACGGCAAAGTTAAATCATGTAAGGTTCATGATCGAGTGCACGAGGTGTGTGTGAGAGAAGCTATAACGGGGAATACTTTGTGCATTATCAATGGCAATGATGCTCCAAAAGTTAGTCATTGGTTAAGTTGTCAAACAAGTCATTGGCCAATTACTCAAGCAAGTTATGGGAATTGCACAATATATAATATCCATTCTATGCTCTGCTTTGGTAAAGATGTATACCATTCAAAATGCAGGTTGGTATACCCATGTTTGAGATTTCTAAGAGTATTGGATTTATCATTAGTGAAATGCTCACAAGGCATGCCTAGTGAAATAACAGATTTGGTTCATTTGAGATACTTGGCTTTAAGTACTATTGGTTCTCTTTACAAGTTTCAATTTTGTAAGCTTAAAAAT